ATATGATGATCTGCTTTGAAACGCATAATTACTAGCTTTCTAGATATTTTAAAACTAATAATTTTGTGCCATATATACATATATATATATATATATATATTTCATTCTTTGGTGTACTGGGCGTGAATAAGTGATTAGTACCAGGCTGCATAGCAGGCAGTTCAAGGTGGACAACTGTGGACACGTTATAAAAGCGAAAATCAGTCATGCTACTGGGTGAAAGCATCCGTGTACGGGTGCTGCAGAACGGTTGCTTCCCCTATCGTTGGCACCTCTAAATAAGGGATCTTTTGTGAGAAGTGAAGAGATCCGGCTGTTGACGATTCAAATCTTATGTTTAACCAATCTATTTCAATGCAAGACAAATTTGCTTAGAATAAAACATGTTTTTAACAAATAATGAAGCTTATTTACTTAATAATAAGGTGTTTACACATGCACATCTAAAAACAAATCACTAGTACTATGGCGGCCTAGCATCGAATAATAGTTTAAGTAAGTTTCACTATTTTCTGTATTCAAAATCACGCAATTATTTGAAATATACGTTTTTTGTTTGTTTTTCCAAACCAGATAAGAAGGGTGGAGCAGTTGTTATCGGTGACAAAAATTATCAAGTGTTTTTACTTAAGATTTCTATATATATATATATATATATATTTTTATCGGGAGTGGACAGTGTGTCAATATTATTTGTATATATGTACGACTACCATACAATTTTCAAGGAATATTAATCATTCTTTAACATCAAACCCTTTTTTTTGACGTTGCATTTATAATATTTTGATGAAAATAAGATAAATATAAGTTGTTTGTTTTATTTTATCACCCTGAATTATAGCATTATAAACTCTGAATATTACTGCTGAGCCACCAGGGGACCATAATATAAGATTAACTGAATGATCTACATATTCGAATATGAAATCATTACTCACATGTGCGGTTTCTTCAGTCACTTAAATAACACATATAGCAGAAAACACACTGGAATATAAATGAATATAACACATACCCAAAACACAAAAGTTCAAATCAGGATACTACCCAAAAGGTATACATACAACACATAATGTGGACAAAATCTTATAAAACAGATATTATACCGAAAGGAGAAATGAGTTCACTGAAAAAGAGCACCTACAAAACAGAAGATCGGTCAATTTCCTTACGTGCATATTAGATACACACCCACAGCTCTAAGTACAGGATAGGAGATTGAAATCACATGAGGTCAAAATACGAACAAAAATGCTAGTTGAAAAAGCTCAATGTAGTTTATCTTAAACATCATGAGACGCAAAATGCAAGAGCTATCAAGAAAAATAGATCTGACGTAAAGGTCCCATTAACTATTAGATAAACTATTTTTATTTGAGTTTCAATTGCATTTATATGCATTCCACTAAAGAGCCTTTCTTATTGCAAAATAATATGTTCGGGAAAAATGAGATATTTGTGGTAGGCCATTTGGAAAAAATACTTTCTCGTGAAGACAAGATAACAGAGAGCTCGGCTTTTCCTTTATTCTTACATTTCAAGTGATTAAACATGAATTAGCTGTTTATACTTACAATGACCTAAACAATTCTTACAGCAGCATTGTGTTTTCCTATTCACTTGGTTTGAACGTCGACGTTGAAGGTAAATGTTTTAGCTGAATACTGATGTAAAATACTACGTATATGTGTGTTTGAAGTTAAGCACAAAGCTACACAATGGGCTATCTGTGATTTGCCCACGACGGGTATCGAAACCCGGTTTCTAGTATTGTAAGTCCGCAAATATACCGCTGTGCCACTTGGGGGCGTATATGGGTGTGTAATAAACGTGTTTATTGAGCAGATGGTTGTATAATACTTTTCGTACTTAATTTGAAAAGCCAATGAGTAGATATTGAAATAAAACACGGTCGTGTTTCTGTAGCCTTTCCTCGATAGAGAAATAAAACATTCTTGACAAAAAATAGATATTAATATATTTAAATGTGTAAATAAAAACATTTAATTTCAATCAGAAAAAAAATTGTTATTTAATAGATCTTTGAAACAGTATATAGTTTTAGATTCCATATTTTGTTGGTTTGTTTTAGTGCAAAATGATACACAATAGCTATCTGGGCTCTGTCTACCACATGGAATCGAACCTTGGAATTTAGCGTTGTGAGTTATCGCTACCTCACTGTGGGCATATTTTGTTGGAAGGCGCCTCATAACAAATAAAATTTTGGCCCTTATCACGAATATGAATATGTTGCTTAGCAACTAACAAAAGGCATTCACGAAGTCTCATTACTTGTCACTTTGTTATAGTATCAGTTGATTTCACGATAACTGAATCGTTAATTATAGCATAACCTGATGCTTCTAGGTTCTCGTTCTATATTCCACTTCGCCAGATCTATTTTCTTTCGCTGTCTGTAGAGTATTTTTTATCCTGTTAATGCCCTTGACACAACATGTATACACATTTTGGCGGATTTACTATTATATATTTATTTTAATATCAATATTTGTTTAAGTTAAATATATATATTTAGAAGTGTACATAACCTATGCTGTTAAATCTGTATTGCGAAATTCCCGCCTATTCTCTAAAGTTTTAGATTGTTTGTTTGTTTAGAATTAAGCACAAAGCTACACAATGGTCTATCTGTGCTCTACCCACCACGGGTATCGAAATCCAGTTTCTAACGTTGTAAGTCCGCAGACATACTGCTGTGCCACTGGGGGGGGGGGCTAAAGTTGCAGAAGATTCTCGAGTGTAAGAATCAACAATATACGTGTGTACGTAAACGCTAGTGTAGCGTTTGTATTGTTGCGTAACCTGAAGTTTTGAGAAACTCTCCACACGCCTATAAATATAACCAACGCGACGCGCCTAAAAACAGTATCTATTATTGGTTTGCTGAAGCTGGTGTGCTATAAACTTTGGAAGCTATAACTATGATTGTTATAACGCTTATTAATTGGGACACTTCATATATTTGACCAGGAACATTTATCAATTTCGAACATTACAAACCATTTAACTTCGGTGAATTCACATCGAACATTAGTACTTTTACGAAAACATTGCCTAACGTCATCGGTGGAAAAATTCGGGGTGTGATCAGTAAAGACCACAGAGCTAGCTAGCTCCCTATTAAGTGAATTGTACCTACGTCAACTCGAAATTAACTTGCTCATCGTGAACCCTCGATAAGATATTAAAGAAGTTCCAAACTAGAAAGAAGACACGATATTATTTGTAAGTTTTTAAAATTTTTGTATATAAATCATTGTATGTAATAACCGTTTTGTAAGTTGTATTATTGTTTGTATATTAAAATATATTTGTATTAAAAAAGTAAACTGTGTGTATCAATCTTGTTGGCAAATATCATAAATTGGATATATACCGT